AAGAAGGCATCAGATCATCTGGAATTGGAGTTAGACTGTTGTTAGCCACCAAGTGGGTACTGGGAACCAAACCCAAGTCCTCTGTAAGAGCAGTAAGTGCTCTTAACCACTAAGTAATCTCTCCAGTGGCATAAATAAAATTAAAAACAAAAAAACAAAAAGCTAACTTGCTAATTTTGTAGGCTGGGTGTGATGTCAGCACAGTCCGGTCTACATAGTGAGTTCCAGGACATCCAAAGCTACAGAGAAACTGTCTCAAATAATAATAATAATAAAATAAATCCAATTCAAAGTGTAAGATGAATATACATATGTTCATGTGAGAATATAAAACACTCATTGTCAGTGTTTCAGATTACAGTGACTTTTAAGAAGCTGCAGCTTGGAAGCCTGTCTAAATAAATAAATAAATAGCCCTGCTGCTCTTACATAGGATCTGGTTTCAGTTCCCAGCACCCACACAACAGCTCACAACCACATATACCTCTTCTGATTTTTGCAGGCTCTACAGGCACATGGATAGATATTTACATGAAGGCAAAATACTCATACACATAAAATAAATCTCTCTCTCTCATACAGACAAAATCTCCCAGAATGGGGGAATAGCTCAGTGCAGAATGTTTGCTTCACTTGTATAAAATCCTGTATTAAAACCCTGCATCACAAATTAACCAATCCTCTTCAGGCTCCTCAATATGAAGAATTACATCTATGAATTATTAGAATACTATAAAATGCTTTTAAATTTTTATTTAATATGTGCATGTATGTACATGTGCATGTAGAGGTCAAAAGATAATCTGTGGGAGATTTTCTCCTTACACTATATGGAATCCTGGGAAATGAAACTCAGGTCTTCAGGCTTGGTGTCAGGTTCCTTTAACCACCAGCCAACTCTCTGGTCCCTTTAATGTTCTTTGTTTTCTTTCCTTTCTTCCTTTCTGTTACTCCCTGCTCTCATGTAACCACATCTGCATAAAGTTCTCCAAACCAACTGCATCTATTTCCTATACGCTGAATTCTTGCTTCATTTCTCTTTAACCTTCAACAAACAGCCATCCCACCATCACTGTGCACCTTTCTTTGAACTTTTTTCCCACTGCCTACGAAATAGTCTATTCAAGTACTCCCAAGTCCTCAGATCTAAAATACCCAACTAAAATTATCTTCCTAAAATTCAGCTCATCCTGTGCTCTGTACTCTTGTAAATGCTACTACTACCTTCTTTCTGACTACAGGAGGACCTTGGCTTTTCCTAATTTCCACCATGTATTGCTAATTGTGCCTGGGAATTTCTCTGAGCTTTACTTATTGCCTTCACCTAGACAGGTGACTAATATACTTAATCTGGGATACTAAAAACATTTCCTAGTTAACTTAATTCTCGCTGCAATCCATTCACTACAATGTTCTCAGAATGCACCAGTTTATGAAATGGAGATGGCTCAGCAGTTAACAGCACTGCTATCCTTGCAGAGCACCCAGGTTCAGTTCCCAGCACCCACATGATGGCTCATCATCATCTGTAACTCACCCCAGTTTCAGGGGATCCAACGCCTTTTCTGACCTTAGGAGGATCCTATAATGCACATACATACACACTAAACTCAGGCATACAGGCATACACACAAAACAAATGAAACAAACAAAACAAAAATATCTGTTTAAACATAATCCTGAATATATAATTTGACTACCTTAAAATACATAAGTTAAACTGAACATGATGGCACATGATTTTAATCCCACCAATTAGGAGTCAGAGGCAGGCAGGTCTCTGTGAATTTGAAACCAGTCAGAGCTAAAACACCAAAAGATTAAAATCAGAGGTTAGACATGAAAGACACACATGTAATTTCAGCATTCAGGACACCGGGGCAGAATAATTGCTAGTTCAAGACTAGCCTGGGCTACATTAGCAAGTTCAAGCACACGTTTTCCCTTCCCCCATACACAGTGAAAAAGAAAATTATGGAATAAAGAACACTGTTCAACAAAAAGTGAAGCAATCATGCATACACAAACCTACCTATTGAGGCAAACATAAGACACTCTGCTTAATTAGGAGAGAATTTATCTAAGTTTACAAAAGTCATACTGCCAAATTCAGTGCAAGTTAAGAACTATGTTACAAGGGCAAAATTAAAAGAAATGTAAAACAAATTCTTTTTTTAAAAAAAAAAATTACGCTACAACTCAAATTCAATTGTAAAAATTAGTTATGTGGGAGCATATTCAGTACAAAAAGAATTAAAGCCATTTACTGAGTTTATTAATCAATAAGGAGACCATGACAGATAGATACAATAAGCTATGGGGGGAGGCTATTTCTAATATCACCCCACACACACAGTCTACAGCCAGGAGAAAAGAAACTGGAAAATCCATGAGAAGACTGGAGAGCAAAGCCACTACTTTTGAATTTCATGCACTGTCAATCGACATCAGTAGTGATATGACAAATCTGGCTCAACTGCTACCTTTATTAGAAATGCTAATAATGGACACACCCTCATTGAAGTGGTCTCTTTAACACCATTAAAAGACATAGCTAAATCAAAGATGACTCTGGGGTGAAGAGCCTGACAACCTAAGTCTGATCTCCAAGGCACACATAGAAGTGGAAAGAAAACAATAAATTCTAAGATAAACAGACTTATACAAAGCAGTAAAAGTTAGTGACTTTCTCTATCTGCTGTCAACACATTTAGTATAGCTACTGCCGGTGACCTAATGATGGCAGGCAAAAGAGAGGGGCTTATAAAACTAACAGAAAATAATGCAACTGACACTCCAGACTCAGGGTTAATAACACACACAAGAAAATGTATTCACAATAGCATTAAAACTGTATCATTAAGACTATATCTCAGGGGGTGCTGGAGAGATGGCTCAGTGGTTAAGTACACATTGATTTGCTCTTCCTGAGATTCTGGGTCCATTCTCAGCACCCACATGACAGCTCACAAATGTCTCTAACTCTAGTTCCAAAGGAATTAATGTCAGAAGCTCTTCTGACCTCCACAGGCACCAGACACACATGTGGTGCATAGACATACATACAAGCAAAACATCCATATATATACAGTAAAATACCTTTTAAAATACCAAATTTCAAGGTGGGAGAGATGGCTCCTTGGGTAAAGGAGCTTGCCACCAGGATTCCCATGATAGGAGAACCTACTTATGGCAAGTTGTCCTCTGATTTCCATATGTACCCCCTGACATGCACACAGCCCAGCCCCAACACATACACAAATAAATGAAAGGATAACAGTCCCTGATGGAGGACAGATCTTCTTCCCAACTTTATTTTTATGTGTAGGAGTCTTTTATCTGTATGTATGTCTAAACTACACAGATGAAGTGCCCCCAGAGGACAGAAGTAAATGTCACATCCACTGGAATTGGAGTTAGAGACAACTGTGAGCCAGCACCTGGGTGCTGGGAATCAAACCCAGGTCTTCTGGGTGTGTTCTGACCATAGAGCCATCTCTCTGGCCTCCTGAGGACTGTTTTGTTAGTTTTTTGTTATTTTGTTTTAATTTTTATAGACAGGGTTTCTCTGCGTAACAATCCTGGCTGTCCTGAAACTCACTCTGTAGACCAGGCTGACCTTGAACTCATAGAGATCTGTCTGCCTCTGCCACCTGCTGGGATTAAAGGCTAGTGCCACTACTGCCTGGCCTGAGGACAGTTCTTTAGTCAAAGATACATAAATAACTGTTCTCCGATGCCGGAATCCCAATACAAGCACTCAGGACTATGAATTTCTTTCTTTCCTTTTGTTTTGGTTTTTTTTTTTTTTTTTTTGAGACTGGGTTTCTCTTGAATATTCCCTGGATAACCCTGGGCTGTCCAGGCACTCACTCTGTAGACCAGGTTGATCTCAAACTCAGAGAATTGGGGAAAAAAAAAAAAAAAAAGTTTAGCCCCCAGCTTGGCACAATTGGGACATGGGTGGGACCTTCATAAGATGGAGAGAGGGGGCTCAATTAAGGGGTGCCTCCAAGGGGTGATGAGACCCCATCCCTTCTTTTCCCACTGCTCCTTAGGCACTTCTAGTCATGATGCACTGCCTCAGCAACAAAGCCACTTTATCTCACAGCAATATCTCCAAAACTATAAGCCAATAAAAACTATTCTTCATACGGCGGTTTCTGTTGACTAATATATAAAACTATGAAACAACAGATTGAAGAACAATGTTGGGGGTGGCCAGAGATGGCTCAGTGGTTAAGATTACTTGCTGATAAGCCTGGTATGGTCTTATGTACATCTGTAACCTTGGGTGTAACATACCTAACTTCTGTCCTTCATTATTTTTGAGATAGTTCTCAAATAGTCCAGGATAGCTTCAAATTCACTATGTAGCCAAGGATGCCCTGAATTGATCCTCCTGCTTCCACCTCCCCAATGCTGGCATCACAGGTGTGTGCTCCACCACAGTTTGTTATCCGGCACTAGAGATAAAACCCAGGGATTCCTGAAGACCAGGTCAACTCTGTAACAACTAAACTACAACCTGCACAAACTCTGACATTCCTAACATTCTAGCTAGTACTTTCCTACTTCACATCAAAACTAAGGATTTTTGTTGTTGTTTTTTAAGACAGGGTTTCTCTGTGTAGCCTTGGATGTCCTGGAACTCCCTCTGTAGACCAGGTTGGCCTCAAACTCACAGAGATCCACCTGCCTCTGCCTCCCGAGAGCTGGGATTAAAGGTGCCACCACTGCCAGCTGTAACAAAACATTTTGCCATTCACTGAGCACTGGATCACACAGTGCTGAGATACTTTGGCATCTCTGTTAAAGAAGCAGTAAGTTGACCATTAAGAGACTTTCCAGTTTTCTGACTCAACAGATGGATAATCAAGTTGTCCAAAGTCATAGAAGACATCCCATGAAATGCACATGGTTAACACTCAGGTCTTCTGTTGGTCCAACTCAATCAAACTAAAGTGATGCATATTAATAACTTTTCACGTGTTACCTACCTTACTCTCCCACTCAGATTTATCTGAATATGCTGCTTAAAATCTGGATATTTGGATGCCAGGTATGCAAAGTCCGGTGGCTTGTCCTTGTATCTATTTCTTGCATGCATCGATTTACTTAGAGCCATCTTTAAAGAGAAAGGGAAGAGAGGATATAAGAGCGATATGGAGGATATCAGCATATTAGTTTCAAAAGCATTGGTGGGGACAGGGGTACACACCTGCCTATAATACCAGTACATAAGAGGCCGAGGCAAGAGGATCACAGTAAACTTGAGACCAGTCTGGGCTACAATGTGAGACCCCGCCTCTAAAACAAACATACACAGAAATAATAAGACAAGTAAGCAGTGCTCTTTTTAAGTCCAGCCAGCTGCCACAGCAGAGCCCTCAATAAACCTGCTCCCCTCCCCCACTGGGGGGGGTGCAGCTTATCATAGAGCACAGGACCAACATGCTCAAGATCCTGGGTTCAATCTCCAGAATCACAAAGGTAGAAACTCACTACACAGCAGCTTTTACACCCTAGGACTCACATGCCCCTTACAGACATCTATCTAAGGGAAATTATTTTCTTTTTTTCATGTAATGCTATAGAGCAACAAAAAAAAAAAAAAAAAAAGCACTCCTCTAACACGTTCAAGAAATATTGATACACTAGGATTCTGCAACATATTACAGAGGGCACAGTTGACAGGCGTGCACTCTGAACATATATGACCCAAGTTAAATTACAATCGTGGCCAATTCAGTTCATTTTCGACACTATTTATTTGGTCATAACAGATACAGATTAACTTTTGAGGAAAACAAGTTCAATTCACTAGGAATTTAACCCAGTGTCTCACATAAACCCTATCAACAAGCTGCTGCACTCCAGCTTAACTAACTTGTGGATTTTCAGCTATCTATCCCATCCCTCAAAGTTAACTGGGTGTCCCCTCTTACCTAGCACCAGTATTGTCACTTCTCGCTCAGCTTACTCTGTTCCTGACACATTGAACTATTAGCCATTCCTCCATCAAATAAATCAGGCACATTCATGCCTTACGGCTATCTATACTTGCTTTTGTTGCTCTTAGGCAAGGTCTCCAGCAGCCCAAGCTGGCTGGGAACTACTATGTACCCAAGGGTAGTCATGAATTCCTTATCCTCCTAAGTGCTGTGAATCCAGGGTGCACCATCACACTGAACTTGCACTTGCTGCTATTCAATTGTCATGGGTTGCTCTTCCCCCTGGAATGTACATACACTGAACATATCCCCACCTTGTTAGGCCTTTGGTCAAATGTCACCTTGTTGATACCTTTCCTGCTCCTCACTAAAACATTCGGTGACCAGAACACACACTTTGTCACCTTTCTAATGTCTGCCTTTCGAATTTATTCACTTGACATTCTATACATGCTTGCTTTAGGACCTGTAAGACCTGTAAACAGGACCTGTAAGAATAGGTACTCAACTATTTGTTGACTGGGAAGAATATGAAGTCGCCTGGAGATGTAGCTCACTCAGAGTGACAGACTATTTCCTAGCACGTGCAAGGTATTGCATTCAGTCACCAACACCATTACGGGAATGACTATGAAATACTTTCCACTGTAAAAGCCATTGAAGCATAACACTCCTTCTGAATGGGCAGCCCAGTTGAGTCTCAATAACAAAAAAAGGCTCATCTGAGTGAATGCAAAAACCAAAGACCTTGACGGCGGTCTTCCCTCTTTAGCACTCCATGCTTTCTTGGTTCCTCTTGATCTTTATTTCTTCAAACACCATTTCTTCTAATGCATAAGCCTGAAACAACTCGGGGGGGATCAACAGTTAAGAGCACTGATTGCTCTAAAGAAACTGGGTTCGAATCCTAGCACCCACATGGCGGCTCACAAGCATTTGTAACTCAGTCCCACGGCATTATAACCTCTGCCGACACTGTGCACGTGGTGCTGACATACGTGCAGGCAAAACACCCATACACATGAAGTAAAAAAGAAAACTTGTCTTTAAAAAGAACAGCAGATTCAACAGATGCGTGCCCCCCGCCCCGTTACAAATTTGACTTTTCCTCTAGTCCTGCCACTTCTCTGGCTCATCCACGCCTTCTTCCCGCCTCGGTTTCAGTGCTCTCCACACATCAGCCTAGGCGCCTGAAGGGGCATCTCTCCTCCAACTCCTCCCACCTACCCACCCTACCGCCTGCATCCGCGCACACACCTGCCCCGGGTGCCGGGCTTCAAAACCAATTAAGCCCCTGATGAGCCGAGAACCAGAGTACAAAAGCCGGCGAGCCACTGACTAAGTGACTCACGAGCGCAACCTGCTAAGAGGTCCCTGAACCACGTACCTCGTAAGCCAATGTAGCTGCCGGACGGCGCGTATAGCTGGGGCCTGCACAAGCCCAAGAGTCTAACCCACGCACACAGCCAAGCTCCTAGAAACGCAGATGCTACGCTCCCAGCGCGCCGCCATCTTGTGAGGCCACTCCGCGCCGTGATTGGACAAGCCACTCTCGCGAGGCCTAGGATCTAGCGCGAAGGAAATAGGAACTGTCGCGATACCTGGAGTTTGGGGCGCGTTTTCAACAGAACGTGGCGGCGTGGTCGCAATCCCAGACCGTTCCGGTACCTAGCTGGAGAGGCTACCTCACTCTGCTGGACAGCGTGGCTTTTTTTGTTGTTTGGCTGGTGGTTTCTCGGTTAGTTTTGGTTGAGACAGAGCTTCACTGTAGCCGCACTGGCCGCGAACTCGGAGCCATCCTCCTGCCTTGGCCTTCCTGATTCGGTGCTGGTATTACAGGTGTGAGCTGGCTACCCCACACCAAACTGGAAGCTTTTTCTAAATAGCTTTCTTCAGAGGGATGGAGAGACGGCTGCTCTTCTAGAGGACCCAAGTTCAATCCCCAGCACCCACATGGCAGCTCACAAACTGTAACTCCAGTTCCAGGGGATCTGACACCCTCACACCAATGCACATTAAATAAATTAATTAAAAGTAGCTTTTTTTCTTCAGCTCGCCCCAGGCTTACTATATCATACTCTCTAGGCTTGGGTGAGGAAAAGGTAGAAAGGAAGATTTTGTGTTTAGTGGCAATAAATACCTACTTTACATACAGCAAGTCTCTATGTGATGACACATTTAGTAGTTACAAATAAACCTGTGATATGGGCAAAATCATAATAATAATACCTGGCGCTTAGAAGCTGCTTTGGGATAGGGTGGGGGCCAGATAGATGGCTCTGCAGTTAAGAACACTGCCTGTTCTAACGAAGGACCCTTGGTTCCATTTCCAGCACCTACATGGGGCTCAAACCCAGCTATAATTCAAGTCCCTAGTGCCCTCTGAAAGCATGTGATGTACAAACATGCAGGCAAATATACACATAATAGTAAGCCATTTTTTAAAAGGGAACTGCTTTGACTAAAAAGCATTGAGTGCTTCTTTGGACTCACAAAGTCCTGGCATCTTGCCTTCATTTTATATTATTTATATTTAGGCATTTAATTGTTGACTTTGTTGTTTGTTTTTGAGATGGGTTCACTGTGTAACAGCCCTGGCTGTCCTGGAACTCAACTCTGTAGACCAGGCTAGCCTTGAACGATCCACCTGCCTCCGCCTCCTGGGATCAAATGCCTGGCCACCACTGCCCGGCATTAATTGTCAACCTTTTCAATGTTCTGTCCCAGATTGCCCAAAAGGCGCTTCCATTGTGTCAGAAAACATCTGTTTTATATTGTATTCCTGGAACAACAGGACAGATCAATAAAGACACTAAGAACAATTACCTGCATAGATGAAGCTGTATGCTTCGTTGGAATTATTGTCTTAAGGAACCCCAATTGCTTCCCTCAAGCAATAAGGAACCACCTTGCAGAATCAAACACATGAGCAACTAGACCACTTTGATATTGATATTCTTCCTTTTTCTAACCCTGAGAATGGTATCATAGGCCTGTAAATCCAGCCTTTGGGATGTTGAAGCTGGAAAATGAGTTCATCCCCATGTACTGCACATCGAGTTCAAGGTCAGCCTGGTCTACATGAAACCCTTCTCAACCTTCTCAAAGGGCCAAAGCAATAGTATACCATTAGATCAGTGATAGTGTACAAAAGCCTGTGTACACTTAACACTTGATGCAAAATCATGTAGTCCAGAATTTGGACCCTGCTATCCACATAACAAGCAAGGGATACCTGGAGTTTACTGGCTTCCAGCCTAAAGAAAACATGAGCCTCAAGTTCAGAGAGAGACTTTGCCTTAAATGAATAGGGAGACAGTGATAGAGGACATCCAATGACCTCTTCAGGTTTCCACACGTGTACACACACACACACTCACACACACACACACACACAAAGATAAAATACATCTTTTAGAAGATGGAGCTGAAGAGATGGCTTAGTAGTTAAGAGCACTCTCTACTCTTCTAGAGGACCCAACTTCAATTCCCAGCACCCACAGGGCAGCTCACTCCAGTTCCAGGGGATCCAGTATCTCTGACACCTCCACAGGGACACAAGTGGCACACAGAAATACGTGCAGCTAGCTGAGTGAGCAGTGGAACTTACTTTATAATCCAGGCTGGCCTCGGGGTTCAAGGCATGTGTCACCACACCTTGCAGTAAGATTACTTTTAAAAAAATTTTTTTGAGCACTTTATTATTTTGTATAAATGGGTGTCTTGTTTCCATTTGTCTGCGTACTGCATGCATGCAATGTTCATATAAGCCAGGAGAGGGTGTTAGATGCCCTTGGAACTGGCATTAGAGACAGTTATGAACTGCCATGTGGGTGCTGAAAATTAAACCTGGCTCCTCTAGGAAAGCAACCAGTGTTCCTTCCTACTGAACTCTCCAGCCCCTAAAATAAAGTATTTTTTATAAAGAAAAATAGTATTCCATTGGAAAACCATACGACTCCGTAGCTGACCAGACCTCTACTGGCAGGTGCTCTTTTCAGTTTCGCTTTGCCCTTATTGCTCTGAGAGGCAGTAGAAGTAGGAGAAAAATCAAAAGAAAATGAAGGTTGTCACATCCTTCTTGGAAGAGCCGTTGGGAGGGTGGCTGAAGCTGCCTGGAGATGACCTTGGCCTCACCTCTGTTCTAGCAGTCCCCAGAGTAGCAGCTCCCAAATCAGAATGTACATGTCACCTGGGGAACTCATTATGCAGGAGGCGCCCAAAGGAACAGCAACCCTGAGAATCTGAGTCGGTTTCAGAGGGTCTGAGTATGCACTTTGTCAGCAGAACCCTATGGGATTCTGACAGAGGTACACTCTCTGATGTAACTGATGCTGCCATGTGGACTACATTTCGAGAAACAGAGAGTAGAGGCAACTGTGTTCACCGGAGAAGCAAGAAAGACTATTGTGGGGAAGATGGAATCTTCAGTCACCTCAGGAGACACGGGTGCACTTTGGGGTGGAGCCCAAGTAACAGGAGGACCCTGTGGCTCTGATGGACACATGAAAAGACCCCCGTGACTCATTTCCTCCCCTCCCTGGCGCTCAGAGTGTTCAGTTAGGACTACCGGGCTACAGAAGGGTGCCTCTTCAGGGCCACTGGGGCATGTGAAAGGGCGTGGCTCCGGCTGAGAAAGATGAAAGAGAGCTTCCCTATGGCCACCAGCAGGAATGCTGATGGGAAGTGGGGAGAATAAGACTTCAGGAGTATGTGCTGTGACAGGAACACTGGTGGGGGCATAAACTCATCCACCAGCTCTGAGAAGTAACTGGGCCCCATAATTCCATTCCAGAGTATGTATATTGTAAGACCCTCAGAATGAGGAGTCTTCCAGGTTCGGTCGATACCCCAAGAACTCAATGTCCAGTCCAGTTCCTGCAAAAACGCAAGAGGCTTTAATGAACAGGAAACATTTGTGCAAACGGGCTCCTCCAGCACGCAGGCTAGGGAGAAGCCACCTTCCCTGGGCCCAGGTGTTTTTAAAGGCATACCCACAAGCTTAGGGAGGGGGTGGGACCCTCTGTCCATTGAGTACGTGACCCTTGGAGGCCAGATGGTCTCGCTATTAGGGTCAGCAGACCTTAGGGCCTCAGGTGTGCTAATTAATCTTGTCTGGGCAAACCAGTTATAGCCATCTCTTGACCCTATTTACCACCTGTTGACTCACAGGAAAGGAGGGGCAGTGTGAATTCTTCTTATCTCAGGGCCTTGTGAGAGGAAGCTAGCAAATTCCAAGGAACAGATATTGGTTTCTAGGTTAGTCCATCATTAACATTACTTTTTAGGTCTTTCAATACCAGAGAAACAGTTCTTGTTAATGGGCTTTAAAAAAAAAAACCCTAAAGAGGGCTGGAAGGATGGCGCAGTGGTTAAGAACATAGTCTGGTCTGAGTTCACGCAGACAGAGCACTGTATAAACATAACAAGTACATTTTTTGGTTTTTTTTAAGATTTATTATTATGTATACAGTGTTCTCTGTGTGTATCCCTGCAGGCCAGAAGAGGGCACCAGATCTCATTACACATGGTAGTGAGCCACCATGTGGTTGCTGGGAATTAAACTCAGGACTTCTGGAAGAACAGCCAGTGCTCTTAACCTCTGAGCCATCTCTCCAGCCCCTCTTTTTTTTTTTTTTTTTTTTTTTTTTTTTTTTAAGATTTATTATTTACTATGTATACAGTGTTCTGGCTGCATGTACACCTACACACCAGAAGAATTTGTGATTACTGAGAATTGAACTCAGGCCCTCTGGAAAAGCAGCCAGTGTTCTTAACCTCTGAGTCATCTCTCCAGCCCCCATAACAAGTAAATCTTAAAAAATAAACAAATAAATAAAATATACAGGACATTCTTAACAATACTGATCAAACTAAAATTCTCTAAAGACTACTAATACCCTTGGACAGGTAGATAAATTGTGGTACAATACAACTATTTATGCCATGCATGTGTCAAATTAATGAGCTATTGTACACTACATGGACAAAGCACAATAAGTTATGCTTAAAAGCATAATAAATTATAGAATAAATGCATTTGTGTTAATTTACAAAATGAGCAAAGTAGAAGACTTTCGTTGTTTGGGAATCTGCGTGAAAAAATATAGAGAAAAAAAAAGAAAAACTCTAAAGAAAAGCAAAGGGTTATGGAACAAATTCAGAATGGTGGTTACCCGGTGTGGGGCAAGGAACAAGCACGTTAGAACACTGATTGTGTTCATGGTTCAATGTTAGATTCTGTTTTAGTGAACCTATGACCTATGTATTCAGGAGCCCGAATTAGCAAGTATTTGACAGAAATAATCATAGAGCACCAGAGGGCATCTAGAAGAGATAGAAAGACCAATCGGAAGTACTAGGGAGGGATTTTAAGTTGTGCGGCTTTTGTTGTTGTTTTGGAGAAGGAAGGGCGTTTTGGAGAGATGGCAGTAGGAGAGTAGGTTCTCAAGTTGCTACTCAGTCTCTCTGAGCTAACAGGTTTTCATCCTTTGAATTTCGAGTCTTATTTATAAATAGGACGATAG